GCACCAGTGCATCAGCCAGAAATTCCGAAGAGGATGTGGAACAAGGGTTATCATTGTTGACATGTCAGCCCTTCTGGTTTCCAGGTCATGGCGGCTGGGGCTCATGGTCCACGCGTCCATTGGACTAATGGTCTACTCTTCCTTGCTCTGGACAGGGAAAGACCACCGTAGGTGGCTGCTCACAAGATTTTAAGACTCCAGTTGTAACTTTCCAAAGTAGGATGTAGAACATTTGTTCTTTGAGGACTGTTATGCCTGAGGACAATTAAGCTTGATGTCCCCTAGACCGTGGTTCTCAATCTTCCTAAAGCCACGACCCTTTAATACAGTTTCTCATGTTGTGGTGACCCCAAACCATAAAATTATTTTCATTGCTTCTTTATAACTGTAATTTTGCTGCTGTTATGAATCGGGTGACGGTCACAACCCACAGGTTTAGAACCCCTACCCTAAACTATGATTCTGTAGACTTTGAGCCTACAGACCCAGTGATTAAGGTGTTTATCCTCTAATTTTAAATACAACTTCCATTAACTGTAAAATTCTACATCGGAAGTTATTGTTTTGGTAACACTTTAAAGATATGAGTAGTGTTACTGTCTCTGTTGATCTATTCTTAGTCCTTTGAAGATAATCTGCCTCCCCCACTGAAACCCTCTCTATCAGTGTTTTCAAAAGTGAGCGATACCCCTCTGGAGGCCCTGGGATGGTCCAGCGGGGTGCTGCAAACATGTACCTCATCCCGGATTATGAGCAGTGGTAGGACAAATACATTTAGGACCTATGCTCCAGATGCTTGTAAAATTTTTCTCTTCGTCTTCAGTTTTCAATGGTTTTATACAATGTGCCAAGGAATAGATTCCTTTTTATGCTATTTGGGGTTCATAATACAGAGAAAAGACCGCACCAGTTGCCATTGAATTGATATGACATACAGTGACTCTTTAGGAAGTGGGACTACTCTTTAGTAGGGACAGTCTTTGGTGTTTAAACCTGTTTAAACACCAGGAGCTGTTTTTATGGTTGTTCAACTTAATTATGACCTCTTTATCCATAGGCTATAAAGAATAGGGGAAGAATGGAGCTTTAAGGAGCCAGATAGTTTATATCATTTGATTCAAGTTCAAATATTACACAGCAGGAGCTGAGCTGGTCTGTTGTGCTTCTGAATTCCCCAAGGCAATGGTACACACAGTCAATGTGCAAGAGAAATGGCACCTCTAAAAAAGACTCTCCCCACAATAGTCTGCTTTTGGTGCTCAGCTCCTATTGTTCCCGAAGTCTCACTTAGTTGCCTGCTTTTGGTTTTAGGTTTTTTTTAAAAAAATAAATCATTTTATTGGGGGCGCTTACAACTCTTATAACAATCCTTACATCCAGTGTATCAAACACATTTGTACATATGTTGCCATTATCATTTCCAAAGCATTTTCTTTCTACTTGAGTCTTTGGTATCAGCTCCTCTTTTCCCCCCCACCCTCCCACCCTTGTGAACCCTTGATAATTTATAAATTATTTTTATTTTCATATTTACATTGTCTGCTGTCTCCCTTAAATCCACATCTCTGTTGTTCGTCTCTGTGTGCGCGCAAGGGGGGGAAGGAGGGAATTGTACGTTGATCATCGCAATCAGTTCCCTCTTTCTCCCACTTCTCCCCCCACCTTCTCCCTACCCTCATGGTATTGCTACTCTCATTATTGGTCCTGAGGGGTGTATCGAGAGCTCTCATCTGTGCCAGTCTACCTTCTCTAGTCTAGCCAGATTTGTAAGATAGAATGGGGTCATGATAGTGGGGGGGGGGACGGGACATTAAAGTACTAGAGGAAAGTTGTATGTTTCCTTGGTGCTATACTGCATCCTGGCTGGCTTGTCCCTTCTTTGTGACCTTTCTGTGAGGGGATGTCCTATTGTCTA